AAGAAGTCAACCAAACACTGACTGACTTATGTCTACTCTAATAATCTGCAGCTTCTTGCAAACCAGTGGAACCGAGGCTGGGGTGATGTATGTATCAAGATCAAATCACCACAAACACTGCATGAAGTCTTCTTGCCTGTTTGATGGACTGACTCAACATCTGTCTGTTTCGTGCAGGATGGTTACTTCAAGATCTCAAGGGGCACAAACGAATGCGGAATCGAAGAGGATGTTGTTGCTGGGATGCCTGCGTCTAAGAACTTGATCGTAGATTATACTACCAGCGATCCAAAAGCCGCTGCCAGTGCTTAGTTTCACATAGTCCTTGTATCGAGGACGCCTATTATCTATGTTGTCAAGATGTCAAACCTTAAACCTAGCAACAGGTCATATGGTTACTTGGGTGAAGGGGATGATGATGGTCTTTTGCTGAATGATTTCATCTCGTTCTGTGATCATTCCTGGTTAATCTGATTAAGATGGCAAAATATTGAACTGGTTATTTGATGGTCCTGCCTTCAGTGTGCTCTGTAAAAGCTTCGAAAACAAAGATCTGAGGCTGTTCCTCTTGCTTTCTCCATGAAGCAATCAAGTTGGCTTCGAATAGCACGAAGGTAATAAATGATTGCACATTCAGATCTGCGCTTTTAGCTGTCTGGTGATTGAAATGTATGCATAAATATCGATACGAAGTCTGTGCGCTCAAACATGACACTGATGCCATCACCATAATTACATATCATTATTAGTATCATAATCTTTATATTTTAAAAAAATTATATATTTTTTTAGAATTATAAAAATAAAATATTTATTTATTAATAAAAAAAATAATTTTAATATTTTAATTTGTAGTGTTGAACAACGATATACAAAATGATCCTCATCTTTTGTCGTTGTTCTCTTAATCTATAACCATCATTCATAGTTTCCATTGATAATATTATTCGTTATCATCAATTAAAATATTAAAATTATTTTTTATTTTTTTATTATAAAAAAAATAATATATAATTGTAGCTTCTTTTGGATTTAAAAAAATATATTTTTTCTTGCATTAAACAGCAAAAGAGACACTTTGGTTGCAGTAAATAACGAGTCCTCTATGCAACTCCTTCGAGTTCGACATGTTATTACTATACCAACTAACAGAATTCATTCATTAGCTTGGATACTTCAAATTATATGTTCCTTTAATCAAAACAGAAGCAATAATATCAATAATAATAATAATAAAGACGGGGAATAATAAGAGTATTCCGAGCATCGACTTGCAAAATAAATCTGCTCTCACATGATAAATTTCCATCAAGCTGATAGGTGGCTGACTGACCATATTAGCTTAGTTTCTTAGCGTTGACCCACACGTAAAAGCTGTTCATAGAGGCCAAAATCACAGCAAAACCCATAGTAATTGACCACACCGTAGAAGCACGCAGCGTCATCCATACAAATATACACATACATGTATAGAATTCTCACACCACGATGAACTACGATTTCTTGACGGCGAGGTCAGCAACATGGAACTGAGCTGTGTACTTGTGAGCTGAATCGCTCAGCTCGTCACGAGGTGGCTCATTCAGAAACGCCCAGTTGCTCCTCGTCCACCTGCTCCGGCAAAACCCCAAACCATATCATCATCCTTCATGTACGTATGTACTTAAGAGTTGTATACGGTGGCTTCTTCTTACCAGTCACCGGTCTTGGGAGGCTTCTCCATGTCTGGGATATCAGGAAACCCCATGACAGTCTTCTTTAGTCTCAGCCCGTCCGACTCCTACAGACACACACAAAGCTAAGTAAAAGCGAAACAAAGGAGGATGAAACAGCATCGAATGAGAGGAAAGCCACCTGAGGGGTTCTCGGGGAGCTCAAACTGGCTTGGAAGTCTTCTTCCTCTTCTTTGGTCGGCCTGTGCAGTCTCCAGAAGCTGTCGATCTCTTCCTTCGTCAGCGACTTGTTTCTCTTCAGCAGAGCTGTGCGCGTTGCAGCATAACACATCAGTAAATGGAGGAGGAGGAGGAGAACAGATGTAAAGCTTGTGATTCTACCTTTTTCTGGGTCTACAACAGGCGAAGACCAGCCGGCCATGAGAGAACCCATCTCGACTACTTCTTCTTCTTCTTCCAAATCCTTTCTGCTACTGATGTCACAAGAAACTCGAGGAATACGAGCGTGAAGTCCCGTCGTCCATCTATATAGATGGAGAGTGGGGTGGGCTGTGGATAAGAGCACACAGGATTGGGGATGAAACAACTGCGATGCAAATCCATACCGGCTTTCGTACGTCCTCGGAAAAGCATGGAAATAATAATCCATTGAGAGCGACCGCCACCAAATCTACTTTTCTTTTTCCGTCGGATCAAGATTCGGTGAACGATGCCGTCCGCGGTCCGGTAAAGCCCGGCAGCCACGGCCGTCGGATGGGTGGGAGGGAGGTAAAAGTAAATCCAAGAGGAGGGCCAAATAAGATTCGAGATCTCTTACGGTACGTACCTAAGTAGAAGGGCTAATTATTTATTACTGCTGTGGTTAAATCACTTCAGCATTTCGATCTTTAAAATTAAAGAATTTATATTAAAATTTTCATAATTATAAAATAAAATATTTAATCTAATTATAAAAGTAAAATATTTCATTTTACCAAAGATATACGATGTAAGAATAATATAAAAATGATTAATAAAAAGATAATTTTAATATCATATTTTTATTTTTATTTATTATTTTTTAATTAATTTTTTTTAGTTGATTATTACGATGGTTTAATGATGATATCATCAGAGGTCATGGGTGATTATTATGATAGTGGTCGATTTTGTCGATATCCAAACATCGACGATTAAGATGATAATAGTCATCATGCGACTAACGATCGTTGATGATGAAGGTTGTGAATCTCGAGGATATAAGGAAGATGAGAGAGAGACGGTAAGAGATGAGACGAAAAGAAAAGATGAAGAGAACGAAGATGACAATGTCATAGGAGATAGCATTGACATGACCATTGTTCTCGTGACACTGTCATTCTGCGATGGAAAAGGAGGAATAATGCTAGAGAGAAGGAAGAAGAGGTAAGTGACGATGGAAGATGAGGCAAAGAGAGAGGAGATAGTCACTCTTCCCTCCTCTTCCCCCCTAAGAAGTCACATAAGCTAGAAATAATGTCGTCGTTGCACTCCCTCCTTTTCCTCCTCCTTTGCGGGACGATAGTGTCATGAGAAGGATAACCGCACCGACTCTATCTCCCGTGATATTATCGTCCTCGTCATCTTCCTCCTCTCCGTTTGTCTCATCTCTCACTGTTGTTCTTTCTCTTTTTTCTCATATCTCCAAGATCGACCACCATCATTATCAAACTATCACCGTTGTCATCACCCTCATTTTGATTGTCGATGTTTGGATCGACATCGACAAGGTTGATCACCACCACAATAGCCACTCATGATCCCAACGGTATGACAATCTACGATAATCACAATAGTCAACAAAAAAGTTTTAATTAGATTATAATAAAAGCAAATATAATTAAAATATTAAAATTATTTTTTTATTTATCATGTCATTCTTACACATGTTATATATTTCGTTCATAAAGCTGATGATGTTAGGATAAATAAAGTTAAATATTTCACTCTCATAAATATAAAAATTTTAATATAAATTTTTTAAGTCTAAAGATCGAAATATTAAATGATCTAACTACCAAGATTAATTTATAATTAGTCGTAAAAAACATCGGATGAATTGTTATCTCATCTAGCGAAAAGTCGATCCCAATGAAATATCAACGCACTAATCAAAAGAATACATAGACGATGTGTGCTACACATAGCTCACCGTGGATCAATCATGCAATGTCCACGCTAGATCAATGATAATGTTGCTATTAAATCAAAATAGAAAGATTATATATATAATCATCCTGATTTGAAATATCTACCTAAATATGTGATTGCAAGTTTAAGAGGATATCCTTCACATTATAATCTATAATTTAGATGAATGCAACGATTCAACTTAGAAACTTATATTAGTTACGGATCACTCTCAGCATGACCCTTTCAATATTTATTATCCTCTCTTCGATCTACATCTTACACATAAATATATTCCTAACCTACTCGTCCACTTCAAACTTGTTTAGGTGGGGATAATGAAATCTGGAATGATCATGTCAATAATCTAATAATGCATTTCATATATGAAGGGAATAATCACGTCAATTCTGGTCATCCACTTGTGAGGAACGACCTCGATTTATCCTCCTATAATTCTTTTACGAATATGCCTTAGAAATGCGATTGGTGGATTTAATATTCTTTTAATGACGAACGCAATATATTTTCCGGTAGAATAATTTGTATAATAAATATTATTATACAACTCAGCTGACATCATTTTGCCGAACTAAAATGATATTTGTGGATTAAAAATGGAGATCACGGCAAAATTGCTTCGTCCTAAGGTGGATTCTTCTAAGCCTCCACATACTTTTTTCAACCATCATGGTAATGCTCCATTAATGGGGGACCCCTTCCGGTAGGTGAACAATTCTTTATTTGTGATGGGACATTTAGTATGGCGTCACCATGGACATTGAATCTGCGCGTTTGTGTATCTTCTTTTCTTTTTCTTATAGAAAAAAAAATTCTTAATTTTAATAAATTTTTAGATAACACCCTAATTTATAAAAAAAAACTCTATAAAACATTTTTTATATATAAAAAAATATTTTACTTTTATGTCTTTACTCGTAAATGAGTATATCTTCAGAGTCTTAGATAATGGGGATCGTCAAGTTTTTATTGCCTTCGACAAGAAAGATAAAAATCTTAGACTCATCACTTTAAATGTTAGAGTTATCGATAGATATCAATCGTTAGATTACCAAGATGTAAGTGATAAGGGATGAAAGCACAGACAGATGATAGGGCAAAGATAGAAGGATCAAAACATTTTTAATTAAAACAATTTTTAGAAAATTTTGAAAATGATGATACTGTGCGAGATTCTCATTTGGAGAATTTACCCTTAAAAACAATCGGGTGGGGTATCGGACAGTCCATTGAATGCGTCTCTTTCACGCCTATGCTTGTCTCCAACTGAGCAGGATTAGCCCATTAACTGTTTGCTTGGTTCACTCGTTGACTTCTCCGACTTATCTTACTCTTCGTCCTTATCCACTCAGGATATATATGATGGCTGCTGTTCTTAAGATAATATTACATATTTGGGGGAAACACGGAAAGTTGGAAGGGGGGTAGAAAGCAACGCCTTTTATACGCCGAAGGTCCTGTTAGCATGGGCGTGCGTGCCGACAACCCTTTGTGGAGCATATCGTAGATATTTCTGGCGCCTCCATGCCAGCACAAGCTTCAGGACAAGAAGGTAGAGCCACCGAGTGACGGCAAAATCTGCGACTTTTCTTTGTCATCCAAAGAATCACCATTAGGAATTCTGCCAATGGTAGAGTGTGGAGTGTCCTCTGCATACAGGTTTCTGATAAGGTTTCGACAAATAAACCAACCAGGCACCCCAGCTGGGTGGGATGGCCAACATAGATGGTAGTGATGTCCTGCATCTGCTGTTTGCATTCTGATGGGGTTGGGCAGTACAGAAGCAATTATTGATTGGAATCATGTAACAGTCATCTATTCATTCCCATTTAGTGATCGATGTTAGCTCAGCTGCTGAGCTCCTTTGTGGGTGCGAGGTGTTATTTCTTTTACCATAAAACCACCCCAGGTAGAACCAGTGAGGAGAGTGTGGCACGCCTTTGGGACAGGGTCAGAGCACTGCAGAGAAACCAGGAAAGACAGGGAAATTAAATTAAATTAAATTCATTGATAATTACATAGAATTCAATTAACATGGTGTAAGATTATTTTAGACCTGAACCAAACGCAGCATATCCATGTAGAAGCATCGAGTGTTTCTTCCGCGGACGACCTGCACAATCAACAAATACCATCAGAAGCAAAGCCCGAATCCACGCGATTCGGGCAGCAACAACAAGCACTTGCGCCTGCACACACCAACCTTGAAGCAGAGAGAAATCAGTCAGCGAAGGGAACGGACAATAAAAAACATGTAGCATTGACTACCTGGAAAAGCCAAGAGAATCCGAAATGAGCCACGGGTGTCAGCTGTGCACGGCAAATGGTGGTGGTGGGAAGAAGCCATCGGCAGTCTCAACTGAGATGCAGATGAACGAGAACATCAAGTGGCCCGTAGGAGAAATAGAAAATTAATAGATTGAAGAATAGCCATACACTTGACAGATATTTTGTACAAGGTTAACACATATTTGAGTAAATCCTGTCATTACAACAAACAACAAGCTATTCTGACCTTGGCTCAGAAAAAGAAAAAGGTGAGCTAGTAGGTAGAAACTGACGCATTGTAGCAGGCACACATGGTTTGATCAACAGGCACCATCACCACTGTTCATACTAAAAAATAAGTGACACGAATAAAAGATGGTACATCACCGATCCTGATCACCATTGAATCAAGTACGATATAGCATCAGTTTCACTGAAGCAATCAGTGCAGCATGTTCCGGTTTTGCAGACAAAGATGCACACTTCCGGTGGAGTGCAGCTGAAGGCTTCCAACTTTGATTGCCCAAATGAGTAGTAATTTACGATTACCTTTTGCTTGAGTCATCAACTGCAGGAGGAACCTTGGCAGGGTAATTTGACAAATCAGTAGCAGCCAATACTGAAAAATCATATGGTCGTGCAGAAGCAGCAGCGCTGTCTTTGAGCAATGAAGATTTGATTGCTTCCAAGTCCACTTGGTCTTGCAATCTGTTTGTAATCACAGGGCTTCCTGAGTTTGATGTGGAAACACTAGACAACCGTGTATCATCCAACTTCCCTGGGTACATATGTTTGTTCTTTCTCACAGCATCCATCTCCTGCCCCATCGGCACAAAGGTTCGTGATCGATACTTTCTTGCTCCCTCATCACCCTCATTGTTGTTGTACAGTACATAATCATGATAAGTAGGGGCGAACTGTGTCAAGATAAACTGATCAGAATATCATCAACAGATAACATACAATAAGCTACTTAAATTCAATACAGGATGAAATAATTACTTTACAAGAGAGATCACCTGATGAACTGTGTCATGGTAGAAATCGTTGAACTTCAAAGCATGAACAAGGCTTCCCCTTAAACCACCAGAACCACCAATGTTAGCACCCGCATATTCCTTGTATGGAAATGCATACAAGTGGCCAACAGCTGCTGCAAGCATCTCAACACATAACACAAAGTTCTGAAATTCCGCAGCTGCTTCTGAATTTTTTATGAACCCAGACTTGGCTGCGAGAAAAACCAAGACACCCTGCATGAAAGATTGGTTAATAACTTTGTTAAAAGAGAAAGACGGTAACAAGCAATAAATTACAGTAAAACAAATACCTGCCAATATGTGAGGAAAACCACAGATTTAATTATGATGAACTTTGGAACTGGGTTGAAAGGCCGGAGCAAATCTTTGCATGCCACATAGAACAAAGCAAGAGCATACAACGCCATGGAATATGATACTGTGTAGATTATTGTGATGTAAAGATAGGCTTGATCCACACTGAAATTTCCATCTTCATATTTCCCTTTTGCATAGAGTATGAAGGTTATCACAACTAGAATAGGCTTCAGGATCACAAACTGCAAACCACCTTGCTTGCACTTTCTTATGAAACGCCTGTTTAACAAGTTCATTCAAAAATGAGTAACTAAAGATATGACTTAATTGAATTCATTGGTGACAAGTGTTTCAACAAGGGATTCATATGATAAACTTTAAATCCATCATTACAGGATAAGGGATTCTCAGAGAACAGACCCATCAAGGGGAATAGAAGGTAAACAGCACGTCATTAGGTACCAAGATGGCTTCAGAGATCGGCCACTTAAACTCAAAACCACTGCACCTGGGCCTCCCACCCATGCCAAGCAGAGCGAAAGGAAGTTATAAATAACCCAAGCTTCATAACTGAAACACATAATTGTTATTAGAACAATTATTGGACAAACTTGAAAAAGACTTCAGATCCTTGAGTCCCATCTGTACTAATGCTTCTCAGAGAAAATCTGAACATATCAAGTGAAACATTAAAAAGGAATCACAATAATCAAAATACAGCTTTCCCTAAATTAAGAAAAATCACAACTGTTATTATTTTTCTTATCCAAATTATCATGTACAGAACATTTTTACTCAGACAGAATAGGAATCACAGGCAGATACTAACAATCTTGGATCAATATTGAAAAGTCAAAAAGGATGTAGTGAGGAACAACAGGCGAACCAAACTTGCAGCTAAACATACCAACAAGCCAAAAAGGATAGAAATATGGAGTCTATTTTCTTTCTGAACTTCTTCTTATTCTCTTCCTTAAACTGCGGTTCTGTTTACTATCACCTTATGTAAATCAATTCCATTCCAACCGTTGATTAAAACAATCTAACTCATAATTCGGCATACCAGTGAATCTTGGAAAAAAATAACTATCAACTTTGAAAGCATGAGGTAAGGTTCAGAATAAGCTGAAGAAGAAAATATGGCTTTGATTTAAATGAAGACATGCTACTTTTGCCATCGAGAATAGAATAATCTCAATTGAACTGGGTTTAATAAATGATTCTGTTAAGTTTTACAAATCTCCCCCCTCCCTCCCTCTCTGTTAGGTTTTGCAAACCTCTCTCCATCATCCTCCTTTTACTCTCATTCCTTTTGCCAGCATGCAAAGCAAAGCAAAGCAAAGCAAAAGGCTTAATTTCAAGAGAAGAGGTTTCTCTCAATTCAATCCAGAGAAAACATGAGTTTTTCTTGATCAAAGGAAAAATAATAACTTACCAAACATCTTCCTACACAATCTCATGTATCTATAACAGAAACAACAGGCACCTCAAAGAACCATCAAGTTGACCATAAACAGAGAGTCAAGCTATAAGAAGCTTAGTCATATGTTATAATGTCCAATATTGTATTTAAAACAAGCAACTATTGTAGTTGATGGTTACAGACAAAATGCTACACATGAAACCGCCTTCGTTTTGAGGTGTGCGGATATGCTTTCTCCATTTATCTTATTAGTCATCTTGACAGTGGAGTACATGTCACTGACAAATGTTAAGACCGAAAGAAATGTAATCACAGTAATACAAAGCAAGTTTGACTGATTTTGATCAAGACATTTAGCATGACAGAGATCACAAACATACTTACACTTCTCGAATAGAATTAAAATATATTGATCGATCATTAAGGATGAGAGACAAGAATGACATCAGTGCATAGACCTGCCAAAAAAGGTATAAGCTGATCAGGCAAGGAATTATGCAATTAGTATATGCATACACCAGAATTTGTATCTCAGAGCATAGAATAAATGAAACACTAACAAGAACCATCAAATCAGTTTATTCTTCTGTTGTTTTTCTTGAGGAAAATTACTGAATTAATTTAACTGAACCACTTTGATCCTCCAAAATTATTTTTGTCGGAGAATAGAGGCAAGATTTCAGACAGGTACTATTTATTGGAGATGAAAATATAAACAAGGCACATAAGCCAAAAGAAAATGAGTAAACAAACAACTTATACCATAGTGAAGTAAGAGGATTGACCCTCGAAGTGTTCCCAACACTTGAAAAGAAAAGAAAAGGTGTGGGATTACATGAGAGTTCGGGTAAGCATTTTAACTAAGAAACACATAATTCTTCTCATTATAAAATATCAGATAGGCACACAAAACTATGGACAAAGAATGGTAAATATTGCAAGCAACATTCTCATTCATTTTTCTACAACCAAGAAGTCAAGAATTATTAAGAATGTAGCAATACCAATCATGTCACATTGGACACAATTCATCATTTTACACAGGTAGAAATGCAGCATTCTCATCACTTCAGTAGACTCTGCACTTGTAATCCACTAGTACAATCACATCAGAATTAGGCAAAGACTTGAATTGGTATATAAAAGCTCGATGAATGTAATACTATTAACTTAACCTAGGCTTAAGCATCTTGGATCAGTGGGCTACAATCAACAAAGTAAATGGGTCAGTTGCTTCATTGGGTTAGGTGATGACAGACAGTGACAAAGCTAACCTACTATTTAGTATAGTGGGGGCTCCACTAAGAATGGGTTACCCATGGATGGGACTGGAGGACACATCACAACATGGAGCTACCATTAGGTTGGGTCTCACGTGCACCATTCTAGAGCTTAATTCTGAACTATAGTGGTACTTGACGAGGATATCAAGTCTTTAAGTGAAGAAAATTGTATTTTCCAAAGCTAGTCTCATATCGAAATGCATAAAGACATGATGGAAAATTATAATTCCCAAATATACTATAGTTTGATTCTAAACTACGTTGGTCCTTAATGTCAAGTCTTTTAAGTGGGGAAATTTGTAAAATATAGTCTTGAGGGCATACTACTATTAAACTTAAGAAATATTACCTTGAGATTAATCATTTTGAATTAGTAGTTTAAGCTCAAAAAAGTTAATTGATTAACTATCTCATTGAACCGAGTCATGATAGGGCTTGTAGCTTGTAGCGATGGATAGCAGGATCTTAGCGAACTTTAGAGTTTACTTGAATCCTCAAGGCCATATTGGCTTGTTTGTGCCCCATATATGTACACTTTACAACATCATCTTGCATATTCTCCAAATAAAGTAGATAATGTATCATATATTTCAACTGAAGCATAGGTTATTCACTAGTCAGAGATATCCAATAAACAAGTTTCAACTTTGTCCCAATGTACCAGGACCTGTCCTTTACTAGTCCATTTCTCAGCAAATTGCTAATTCTAAATGGTGTCTCTGTTGGTCTTTCATAAGAAGCAATATCAAGGTCCTTTAGTTTAACAATTAGCTTATAAAATATTTTTGGGTTTCAGTACAGTTTAAAGAGTTAACGCCATGCTGTACCTCGCCTGCATAATTTCAGCAAAGGGTTTGTCCCATGACAG